CCTTCGTGTTGAGCATTTTAGGCTGCTTTCGTATATTGAACTGCCCGGAAAAATCGTTTGGTCCAGTTAAACCGTTGACCTGAAGTTTCAGTCAGTGAATAGAGCGCTCATTCCATGCACGGATCCTTAAATAAAACTTACTTTCTTGAACAGGAAGAAAATACGAAATTAGAATTTGTTCTGATGAACCCTCCTCGCGTTTGGAGTAACGACCCGGCTCCCATTCAGCGCTTTCGGGTATATCTGGATTGTAGTGGGGTCCGGTTTCCAGGCTGCCATGAGGAAAGGGTGTTGAAAAGCAACTGTGCACGCCTTTGGTTAGTCCAACGTGTCTTTTTGAAAGTACACCAGCGTTGAATGCTGGTGCCCAGGTCCTCTGTTCTCCTAGGCGTGCTCACTGAAGAAGTGTTTATTACATCTAATAAGAGAATGTTCAAGACTAGTCACGATTACTCGGTACTCAAAGGCATGGGAGAAATTTGGACTCTATCCTTTGCAGCTGTTTAGCTGTTACGGGTTGGTGATAATTGCTGCCACTTATTTGCACAGCTTCTGCTTCCAGGAAGCAACTTTAAGGGGTAAAAGGAAACAATGAGGTCTAAAATGTTGGTACTGACAGCATCCTGTGGTGAGATGCTTACTTTATTAATTTTGGTAAGTTACTAATGTAATTATTAAAGCTTTCTTGGGGATTCTTTCCCAAATACTTCACTGGATGGGGTTATGAAATAATGCAGTCTTTTTCAGAATAACATGCACTTCCTTCATGTGTTGTTTTTGCATTGTGAACTCATAACTCTTCCATATATAAAGGAATCTTGTTCTCTAGATTTTGAAGTGTTTTGCTCTAGGTAGGTTATTGTTCTGAATTTTGAATGTGCTAACGTTTTTCAGATGGTAGTGTAACATCTTTGTAGGATACTGTCAGTGAAGGAAGGGAGCATGGAGAAAATAAATACTACAACAAGAAAAGTTTTTTCCACTTGAAAAGACATCCTGGGTGCATTCACAGAAGAGATCTGTGCGATTTCCTCAGAAATGCTGATGTCCCCCTATCATAGGGTGGGGGTTTTTGGGGTTTATTCTTTTCTTTGGGGTTTTTTTTTTTTTTCGGTCAAATGATCTCCAAACTTGGGCCTCTTGCTTCCAAATCAGCTTCCAGCACGTGAACCTGAGAGCTGGCAAGTAGCCTTATGAGCCATAGGGTCTGGCAGAACGCGTATTTGAGGGATTAGGGTCTGCAGCCTGCAACCTCCACAACCACAAACTAAGATGTGTTTCAAAGCCAAACAAAAAATACATCCTTACAAAAACAAAGCCAAGAATTAATGTAATGAAACTTGGGGATTTCTAAGTGACGATATTGTAGCCAAATTCTCCTGCCAAGATGCAGTCCTTCTTATGCTTTAGACACAAGACAATATAGAAGAAACAAAAATAAGTTTTTATTTAAAATACTAGCTGAGAAAAAAATCTTTCACGTTATATGGTCTGGTAGAGTAGCCAGATGGCTAGCGGAGGGCCTCTCATGATCATTATGTGTTGCAGAAGTCCGGTTTCCACAAACTTGGTTGAATCAACTGATTATTATGAAAATAAATTAATGCAAGAAATGCATTAATTTACTTGAATTAACATTTAAGTGGGTATGATAAACTTTACCTTGAATTTAGACACAAGTATTTTTCAGCTGCATGAATAGTCGTATCTTCGTTAGCTTCAAAATGTCCATCGACTGCGCTTAAGTGGAGCTGTGGTAGTTTACACGCTCATACTTTGTCAGCTTTGTTTCTGTCAGTGCGTTGCTTAACTGGGATGTGACATACAGTCTTGATTTTAAAATACTTGATAAGAGTAAATAGAAAATGCCAACAGTAATACATCTGGTTTTAATTTTGGTCTTTTTTAAGGTAGAAGCGTTAGGAATTATTTTACTTTTTGTTTCACTTAGGGCTCAGAGATGGATTCATCAGAACGATCAACAGTTAGAAGTGAGCAGAAATCCAGGTAACTTGTGTTGCAGAGATTATACCAAACTTTCTCTTAATGAAAATCTGAAAACACAGTGGAAATACATTACTGAAAACTGGATGCAAGAACGTCATGCTTGAAAACTTGAAACGATCCCAGAAACTAGTTTCTCCACTGACCGAGGGCTTCATACTCAGTTAAGCTGTTCGTGAGGAATAAATAATATACTTGCTGAGAGGAAACAATTTGTGCTGAATGTAGCAGGAAGGCATGGGGATTATCAGCAATATATTCTTTGTAGGCATTAGCTAGCAACCTTATCCACATGTTTATTAATTGCTTTGCCTGAGGCCATTTCAAGTTAAACATTATAGTTTTAGCTAGATAGTTTCAGATGATTGTGAAATAAGAGGTGTTAAACATCCATATTACCAGATTAACAGGAATTAAAAATCTGTAAAGGTAGTTTTGAAAGTCAAGGGAATTCTAAGGTTCTGTATTACTGAAATCCTTGTTTGTATACGGTGATTTCACTGTATGGTTTAAATGCATTTTCACTTCTTTGCAAAGTAATCATGAAAGCCAGACTTTCTCGACAGTTTCTTGTGCTGGCTTGCGCAGTGAATACTGATGTAGAACCAAATACGCCTTTGAGAGTCGTCTGTGGTTAGTAACATCAGAATAGTGGGCTAGATGAACCCTTGATCTGAACAAGCATGACTGTTCTTATGTTCCTGTATCCTAAAGTGAGAATAAATGAGAATAAGAGATACTGCTTTTTCCCAGAAAAACAAAAGTTTGTTTCTTTGAAATATTGTGACTCGTCCCTTTGAAATAGTTCTACTTACTTTCTGCCAGACACGTGTTAAGTAAATCATTGGACGGTCCTTTGACTGCTTTTTTCAAAATTTCATTTGAAATGGTGTTTGGCTAGCCCAGTGGACTGAAAATTGGTAATTGTCAATTTGGATCTCAAAGACATTAGTGATTTGAAGTTGTTGCCATTTTTTGGCTTTAATTAATTATGTACACTTACTTGTCTAAAATGACCAAAAGACCTAAAGTACATTGTCGGTTTGGGGAAGGCTGTGAACTGCTGCCAATACCATTCTTCCGCGTAGAAATGGAGAACTCCGTTCCTTTTGGTTGGTTAGTATTTTGCACAAGCGTTAATAGTTCATAGGGACTTCTCGAGTCAGTTGTGAGATCTTCAGAAAAGTTAGAAAATGCACTGTAAAAAACGAAGATTTTTGTTTTCTGTTTTAAAGAAAATTCTTAAAAAGTCTAATAAGAAAGCAGCCTCGGGACCTTCTTCTTGTAATTGGAACTGGGGTAAGTGCTGCGGTAGCACCAGGAATCCCAGCGCTGTGCTCCTGGAGAAGCTGCATTGAGGCTGTAATTGAAGCAGCTGAACAGCTGGAGGTGCTTCATCCGGGAGATGTTGCTGAATTTCGTAAAAAAGTAATCAAAGATAGAGACCTGCTTGTGGTTGCACATGATCTCATCAGGAAAATGTCACCAGTGAGTATGTTTATAACTTTGATTGATTTCTAAAATTCTTACCTACTTTTATTTTGTTATCAACAAAAATTCTTTTCAGCTTTCTAAAACTTGAAATTTTTCTGGTAAAAAGTGAAAGTTTGATGGTAATCATATAGTACACTGTACGTTTTGGAGAGGCTAAAAAATCCTTGGTTTTTAGTGTAAGCAAGCTTTCGTCGTGATTAATGCAAGCAAGACTCCTGACTATTAAATATTTGCCATAATGTTTCTTGGAACTGAAAGAGGAATTTATAGCTCTGCTGGGTAAAACTAGAGATACCCTGAAAGTACAGGTAGACCTTGACCCTACTGATAGCCTGAGATCACACAGATGTAATCACTGCTGCAGCTCGCACTTCACTGAAGACAGTGCATACGTGCCCAGTTTCTCAGACGTTCGTCTTGGGTTCCAGAGGCTTTCAGGCTGTGTTAAGAGGTTTGCCAGGTCTTCCAGTTGAAATAATTAGGGTGACATACATACTGCTAAGTTGTAGGATGTGTTGAGTGTTTTGCAACACGTCGTGAGCTTCTCTAGAGGCAAAGTGTAATAACAACCTCTCTCTTTTGGGAGGAGTCTGCATGTATGGTTAGGCAGATTTAACAATTAATACATTTTTCTCAACCAGGAAGCAAAAAAAAAAAAAGAAACCAGAAAAAAGCCCCCAAACCCTTTAATAGTACATCCCAGACTCTGAATCCAGGGAATGATCATTTCAGTATACTAACCGGTTTTCAAAGCAGTATGAGAAAGGTGAGGTTTCCGTGTAGTTAGGCCAGTAGCCGTATTTGGCTTATAAAAAGACATTTGTTCTGTGTGTGATACAATTTATTGAATAGGAAGCCTGTATATTTCATAGAATTGTTACACGTTCCTATCAGTCTCGGCAGATACTCTGGGCAAATGCAGCCTACGCTTTGAGGAAAGCGTACCTTCGTGTTTGTTTAGGAGTGACGAGTGAGGGTTTAACTGTAGCAAAATAGTTTTGTTTTACTGTACCTGCATTACAAGCTTTCTTGAGAAAGCCAGACTATTATTTCGAGCTACATTAAGTAGAGGCAAGAGCACCTGAATAATTTGAGATTGTTTTTGATGGTTTTGTACATTCAGCCCTTTATGCTTTGTATACTATGTAAGCCCTCTAATTTTAAAGAAATGCTTTGGCATTAAGTAGACAAATGATGTGGAGGCAATTATAATGGTGCACGTGGTCCTTATGAAGCGTTCGTCTTTTTCTTTCTTCAGCGTACTGGGGATACGAAGCCCAACTTCTTCCAGGATTGCTTAATGGAGGTGTTTGATAATTTAGAACAACACATTCAGAATCCTGTTGTTCTGCAATCAATCCTGAGACTCATGGAGAGAGGCACAATGGTTCTGACTACAAACTATGATAATTTACTTGAAATATTTGGTCAGCAACAGGGTAAACCTATGGAATCTTTAGACTTGAAAGATAAGGATAAGGTATGATGAAAGCAGTAAAGTTTTTAGACTTATTAGAAGAGAAGGCAGCTCGTAAGCTTCATTGAAAGATGTTTTCCTGTTTAAAGAGTGTCAAGGCTAAAACTTCTTAATTGGTAAAGCATGTCTATAAGCTAACAGCACATGCACAGACATTTATTTTACGTGTCTTTTTATTCTGAATAATCTGGTAACAGTTACCAAAGAGAATTTCAGTGGCGCACTTATTAACCAATGCCCACCCACTCCCTGGAAAAAACCCACAAACTTATTTAACTTACGTGAAGTAATTGTTACAATCACAAATATGATTTCATCTAGCTGGTAGTTAATTTGCTGTTCGTGTCTTTTCTGTCCGCGTTGCTGGAACTTGCTTCTTGGTTGAATGCTTGTTTAGACCAAAAAGCCAGAGATATCTTCAGTATCAGCAATCACCCCTTTATTATAATTTAAAGTAAGCTATGTAATCAGTAATTAAAATTGTCTCTTGCTGCAAAAAAGTGCAAAAGAAGTTATTTCTGCTTTAAGTGGGTTTATAAGTTAGGACAGCTGTATATTTTTGCAGAATCTCGGTTACTGTAGTATATTATAGCATAACAAAAGAATGTAACTTGCATGATTTGCTTTAGGTTCTTCAGTGGGCAAGAGGTCATATAAAATATGGAGTTCTTCATATTCACGGCTTATATACAGATCCCTGTGGAATGGTGCTAGATCCCTCGGGATATAAAGATGTTACTCAAGATCCTGAAGTCATGGTTCGTGTGATCTTTAGAATTTTCACTACGTTTTGCCAAACTATTCTATTGTAACCACTGCATACACATTACCTAAGGCTAGGGTTTTGTAGATTATATAGATAAAATAATTGGGGCCCAGAAAAATGGCAGTATTATTCAGAAAGCCAGCTGTGTTGCTAGGGCAATGTATGCTCTTGTATACTGCTGCTTTGTAAATCACAATCAAAACCCTCAGCTGTATGTCGTAGTTTTAGAGTTCTTTGTATTTATCTCATGAAGGAACATTAGCCCCAAAATACTAGACACCAGAACAAGGATCCGTCACCATCTGATTGCTTGGATTCTTTTTTTTAGGGGCTTAAGCTGTTACCAGCTCTGGATCCTGGACTTAATGTTCTATCTTAGGTATTTTAAGAAGTCAAACATTAGGTCAATCTGTAAATAAGGAAAATTAATACTCTTGACCAAATGGGAGCCTAATATTCTGTTATCGTAATTCTTTCAATTTAAAATTCCCTTACTGGAAATATTTACATGTGCACTTAATTTTGTATGGTAACTTTGAATATAATTTTTTTTTTGTAGAAACAGTGCTTATGAAATGTCAGTTTGCCTGGATCCTAAAACATACGCTTAATTCAGTTTAATAGTGATGTCTGCTCTGCTTCTCCTTTTAAGTCTGACATATTTTTAAAGTTCTTACCTTGGCCTTTTGACTGCTGAAGTAAGTGTAGCGCTTGTGTGTTTATATTTCTTAACAGGAGGTTCTTCAAAATTTGTATCGAACCAAGTCTTTCTTGTTTTTGGGCTGCGGAGAGACTCTGCGTGATCAGATATTCCAAGCTCTTTTTCTTTATACTGTAAAGAATAAAGTGGATTTAGAACATTATATGTTGGTGCTTAAAGAAAATGAAGACCACTTTTTTAAGCTCCAGGCAGATATGCTGCTGCACGGAATAAAAGTAGTGTCCTACGGGGACTGCTTTAAACAATTCCCAGAGTACGTACAAGATCTGACTGCTCAAATCTGCAAGCAGAGAAGCCCAGGTAATGTATCCTCCTCAATAAGAACGTTTTGAGTAGGTACGTGGCAGGGTGCCACGTCTGAACAATCAGCAGTTGGTCTGAGGTGCTGACCTCGTGCGTAGCTAGCGATAGGCCTGTGCAGCATCTTTGCTTATGAATGGCACGCAGAGTTGGAACACGTGACAAAATTGTGACCAAATTTCTTTCTGTAAGGTCTGTGGATTCTTGCAAATTTAATCTTTAATTCTGAATTTGTCTTTTTGTTAGCATTTGGTTAAGACGTTTACTTTGTGTATTTTTTTGGTGTGAACGACCCCAGTATATTGAGTATTACATTGTATGAAATATGACATGTCGGTAAAAGAGACTAAAAGAATAACCGGTGGGATAAGCTGGTTGAGCCACAATATCTGATGCACCACAGAATGGGAAATTAGTGCACCCAATAGCGTTTCGCTTAGCGCAGTTAGGGCTAATGGGGAGAAAACCCGAGTGCGAGGATAATGTTTTGTGACAATAAAATAGAAGAGGCTGTGGAATAATACTCCATTTGTGACAGTGAGTGGCATTCTGTAGAGGGCGTTTAATGCTAAAATGGGAAATAACTCGATACCTTTGCTGAAGGTAACAGTCCTGCATCGACAGGGAGCTAAATTTCACTAACTAGGTCTGTTCACCTACTCCCCCTGCTCCCTTCCATCCTGTTGTCTCTCCGCTCATAAAATTCCTTAGCTGTAACGATGAAGAGCCTTTAATACAAAACCAGGGAAAAACAACAACTGCATGTTGAAAGAAGGAGACTTCTTTAATGTTTTCCAAACAAGGACAGTTCTACTATGGCTTATCCAGAGAATTGAGGAAAATAACTGGAGTAAATGACCTTGGGAAGAATACTGTTTCACAGCTCTCTTGTTTGTCATGTCAGTGAAACTGTTTTGTCTGAAATGGTGGTCACACAAGCGGTGCATAGCAGGAACCTTCCCCTTGCCCTCCTTAAAAGAAGATTGCAGGTGTATGCCCGAATTATATAATGGTTTTTGTAACTGGATGCATATTACATTTAGACTGGATTAGATTTTTCTTTCCATGAAGGCTAGAAAAAATACTTAGCACAGCGTCTAGGTTTCGGGAAGTTTGTCTGCAGTGTAGACACCTGAAAGTAAGCTGGGGTGCAATTTCAGACACTGAACCAGCCTCAGCCTGCTGGTTGTTCTTTGACATACTGCTGTTGATGGATGTGATGGACATGCTTTTCATAGTCTGAGCAGTGTCTAGAGCCTGTTGAGTCCGGAGTATCCGATTTATTGCAAAGCAGCCATTGGTATCAAAACAGGCTGGGAGATACATTTACGTAAGCTCTAAATGGAAACGACTGCAAAATCAGACTATAATGCTCCCCTTTTTGTTCAGTGGAGTTACTGATTGGCATAATACTTGCAAGAAGAGGGACTTAACTCTAACTTCAGAATCTTGATCTGAATGTTGATCACATTTACAAGTCAAGATCCCAAACAAAACTGTTTTGAAATATGCGTAACTGCTCTTTACGTTACCAAACTGTCAGGTTTCATTTTTTTCATGTTTATTTACAAACTCTCCTTTAAAAAATAGCAGAAGGAGTTTGTTAAAAGGGTTCTATGAAAGAAATGAGAAATGCAGGCCCTGATAGGGGACTTCAGCCACCCGAACATGTGCTGGAAAAGCAGCACGGCGAACTGCAAGCAGTCCAGGAAACTACTGGAGTGCGTGGAGGACAACTTCCTAGTACAGGTGATGGAGAGCCTGAGCAGGGGAGAGGCGCTGCTGGATCTGTTGCTCGCTATCGGAGAGGTCAAGACTGGAGGTAGCCTGGGCTGCAGCAATCATGCCCTGGTAGAATTCTTAATCTACAGATGAAGCAGATGAAGTTGCTAAGCCACTGGCCATCATATTTGAAAAGCCATGGCAGACTGGGGAAGTTCCCAGTGACTGGAAAAGGGGAAACATAACCCCCATTTTTGAAAAGGGGAAAAAAGGAAGACTTGGGGAACTACAGGGTGGTCAGTCTCACCTCTGTGCCCAGCAAGATCATGGAGCAGATCCTCCCGGAAACTATGCTGAGGCACATGGAAAACAGAAGTGATTGGCGACAGCCAACATGGCTTCATGAAGGGCAAATCGTGCCTGACAAATTTGGTGGCCGCCTGTGATGGGGTTACAGCGTTGGTGGATAAGCATTTGATACTGTCCCGCATGACATCCTTGTCTCTAAAATGGAGAGACATGGATTTGATGGGTGGACCACTCGGTGGATAAGGAATGGGCTGGATGTCGCACTCGGAGAGTTGCGGTCAATGGCTCGATGTCCAGGTGGAGACCAGTGATGAGCGGTGTCCTTCAGGGGTCCGTATTGGGACCAGTAGTATTTAACGTCTTTGAGGACTTGGACAGTGCACCCTCAGCAAGTTTGCGGATGACACCAAGCTGAGTGGTGTGGTTGATACTCTAGAGGGAAGGGATGCCATCCAGAGGGACCTTGACAGGCTGGAGAGGTGGGCCTGTGTGAACCTCATGAAGTTCAGCAAGGCCAAGTGCAAGGTCCTGTACATCCCAAACATGGATACAGGCTGGGCGGAGAATGGGTTGAGAGCAGCCCTGCTGAGAAGGACTTGAGGGTGTTGGCTGATGAGAAGCTCAACATGACCCGGCAATGTGTGCTCGCAGCCCAGGCGGCCAACCATATCCTGGGCTGCATCAAAAGAAGTGT